AAACAAAACTCCCCTAGGACTGTTGTTGGTATGGACGGCACCCGCAAATTCGGCTAGCCGTGGAGTGTGTTTGTTGGTGGAGGGAGAATAAACCTTTACTTCTATCGCTTGGGAACCGCCACAATTTTTTTTAGCATGGAGGATATTGATAACTCTTGGTTGTAATGTTGACAAGAAGGGTGTACCTCCCAAAATTATATTTTTCTCTGCTTTAAGCTTTGAGCTCTGGCACCTTTGCAAATACCTGATTCCCTCTGCGTAGGACTATCTATTTAATTTTATGTTGAGTCATCACCTTCTCAAACAAGCGTCAGACCTGAGAGCACTATTGTCGTCCTCATGCGTTGTGTTTAGTTAATGTTGGATGCATCATGACTGGATCTCTTCTACCATGAATTCAATGTTTAGTTGCTGCTTGAACTTTGGAGGTGCTCTACATTTATATTTTACGGTCTCAGAAAGGGCTAGCAAGATACAACTGTTGTCATATTATATCATGATTATTTTGACAAAGTGTTGGCATTTGATATATCTTATTGTTGCTCTCTAGTTGATTATGCTATTGATACGAGTTAATATAATTTCTAAGAGTTATCGTTGACATGGTTAGTCATGATCTTTGCTGAAAACATGTGTGCTACATAAGCTTATTTATGTAGACAAGAACAAAAGAGTTTGTAAAAGTATTTATTTATCACTTTCAGTTTGTCAACTGAATTGCTTGAGGACAAATAAAGGTTTTAAGCTGGGGGGAGTTGATACATCTCCGTCGTATCTACTTTTCCTAATGCTTTTGCTCTTGTCTTGGACTCTAATTTGCATGATTTGAATGAAACTAACCCGGACTGACGCTGTTTTTAGCAGAACTACAATGGTGTTGTTTTTGTGTAGAAATAAAAGTTCGCAGGTTTGGACGAAACTTTTTGGAGAATTATTTCAGAATAAATAAAAAAAATACTGGAACCAAGAACCACCGGAGGGGCCCCCTGGCTGACCACAAGACACCAGGGTGCGCCACCCCCTCCAGGCGCACCCTGGTGGGTTGTGGGGCCCTCGGGCTCAGCAGACCCTAATTCCAGCACTATAAATTCCTATTCTCAGAGAAAAAACAGGAGAGGAAGTTTCATCATGTTTCATGATACGGAGCTGTCGCCACCTCATGTTCTTCATCGGGAGGCCAGATCTGGAGCCCGTTCGGGGCTTCAGAGAGGGGAATCTTCAGTCTTCGTCGTCACCAACCCTCCTTCATCACCAATTCTATGATGCTCCCCACCGGGAATGAGTAATTCCTTCGTAGGCTCGTTGATCGATGAGGAGTTGGATGAGATTCATCATGTAATCGAGTTGGTTTTCACTTTGCCCTGCTTAATGCTTGTCACTTTGGGCCTGGGTGTCATGATTTCAGATCTGAACCGTTTATGTTTTCACCATTATATCTATGTTCTAGATCTGAGCTTGCAAGTCATATTCACCTATTATGTGTTATGATCCGTAAACCCTGGAGTGACAATAGTCAGGATCCTTTCCGGTGACGAATGTAGTTTGAGGAGTTCGTGTATTTACCATGTGTTAATGCTTTGTTCCGGTTCTCTATTAAAAGGAGGCCTTAATATCCATTAGTTTCCTTACAGACCTCGCTGCCACGGGAGGGTAGGACAAAAGATGTCATGCAAATTCTTTTCCATAAGCACGTGTGACTATTTACAGGATACATGCCTAGATTATATTAATGAACTGGAGCTAGTTATGTGTTGCCCTAGGTTATGACTATTATATGATGAATATCATCCAACGAATACACCGATCCAATGCCTATGAGTTTTCCATATATTCTTCTTGCTAAGTTACTATCATTATTGCTACTGTTACAACTGCTACAAAACGGTTACTGTTGTTAACGTTACCATTGCTATTGTTACCATTGCTATCAAACTATCATACTACTGTGCTACTGATCACTTTGCTGCAGATATTTAATCTCCAGGTGTGTTGAATTGACAAATCAACTGTTATACTTACAAATATTCTTTGGCTCCCCTTGTGTCGAATCTATAAATTTGGGTTGAATACTCTACCCTCAAAAACTATTGCGATCCCCTATACTTGTGGGTTATCAGCTGCCAGTAAAATTGTTGCCTCGGGCCGCCATTTAGGGGGAGCGGTGATTGCACGATCCATCGTGCTGTGAACCGCTTGATAGATTTGTCAGGCTAGGTGAGCCTATCCACGTATTGCAGGTTGGCCTTCGAGGCTTGCTTGCTTGATCTCTTCGGACAAACTATGAGTTCGGTTGGATCATGTGTGGGAGCACCCCCCCCCCACACACACACAAAGGTGGTTTGGAAGTTTTAAAAGGGAACTCGTCTGTCAAGCCAAACACTCCGGATCTGAGGTCATCTGTATCAAGAAGTCGTCCTCGACATAGAAGACCAGTTTGGGGGCTAGTAACGGTGTCCCTAACTAGGGGGTGCTAACCTAGATGGCCCATGCTCCTCGGATTGGGCCAGCGGTCCCTCATTCATGATCAATGGAAGACTCCAGAAGCCGTATGCGGGAGGGAAAAACAAAGACCCCGCCTACCGAAGACTTGTCGTGTACTCCAAGACTACTCCTGTCACCTTATGCCTAGATGCCAACCTTGTAACCATAGATACCCTACCCGGTGTGTGTATATAAGCCGTAGGGTTTAGCCCGTAGACGGGACATCAACACAATACCATTCACCTAGCCCTAGAGTTAGACCACAACTTACGATCTCGAGGTGGATCAACTCTTTATTCGATACTACTCCATTAATACAAGAGCATGACATGGGATTTCACCTCAATCAAGAGGGCCCGAACCTGGGTAAACATCGTCTCCCTCTTCCATGTTACCATTCTTCAGAGATCCACAGCTCGGGACCCCCTACCCCGAGGTTTGCCGTTTTTCACACCTACACCACTGTTTAGCAGGTCCACGAACGACTGGAAAATGGGCCTGTAGAACTCCAAATGCCCTCTTGACATCCTTTCTAACTGCTTCTTGTCTTTGGTCAAAGTGAGCCTTTTTATGGCCAACTGGGTTCGAGATGGTGCTAACAAAGGTAGCCCATGGAGGATATATACTGTCAACCAGATAGTAGTCCATGTTATACTCATGTCCATTGACAGTATAGTGGCAAGGAGAAGCTTTTCTTTCAGCTAGCCTTGCAAACAACGGTGATCGTTGCAGCACATTGATGTCATTCTGAGACCCGGGCATATGCCAAAAAAAGCGTGCCAAATCCAAAGATCATGTGATGCAACTGCATCACATGATGGTGGGCTTCTTAACATGATCCTGATATTGCCCTTGTAAAATCTTCGGGCGGTTCTTTCATTTCTAATGCATGCAGTCAAGAGATCCAAGCAAACCTGGCCAACCTCTTACTTCTAAGATTTCCAAGAGCCTCTTGGTGTCTGCCATCCGAACACCTCGACAATGGCAGTTGCAAACCTAACCATGTCATCTCCGCATGTGCTCTTAGACATCTGTAGGTACTCGTCCCACGAATGTGGTCGTCCCATATGCAAGCATCCGGAGTGCAGCCAGAAGCCGATCGTTCCCACGTCGTCCTTTTTCAGGATGAAGTAGTCATCGCACAACCGAACGCCGTGGTACAAACGATTGAAGGCAGTCTCATGCATCCGAAAAATGCCGACGAAAATGGTTAGTGAATAGTGCATCGGGGGCATAGTAGTCTGTCATCAGTGCCAAATGAGCACTCGATGACCCTTGATCGAGCCCTTGAAATTGAGAACATGCTCCTCCGCATGCTCCGCGTCTTCAACGACAACCCGCATCATCACCATCTCTTCGGAAGTACTCCTCCTCGTCCGACGAGCCGTCAAACAACATACTGCTCGTATATCTACTCCAAATTAGAATCCATTGGTAGAAAGAAGAAGGGACAACTGTTTTTAGCTCCGGCGGTTCATCGAACAATTGTCGGGCATGGTGAGAATAGCAATAACTGATGGTACCTGACAGGGTGGTTGGAGGACAGGGGTTGAACAAAGACGGAGGAGAAGCAGAGTGGAGCCCTGCCGGAGCGCTGGAGGTGCCGGAGACATAAAATTCCGGTAGGGGTGTGGCGTGGTGACAGGGGTGGCGAAGCGGCGGCAAAGGCAACAGAGAAAAGAGAGAAAACGAGGAGGATGAAGTCACGGGGTTTGGGGAGGGGGTGGACCAGGGTGCCGGACTCGTACGTTTCGCGTGTCCGGACTCCCGCAAAGCTCCTCCGTTATTGTCTCCGGTTTACAGGAGAAATCGCGTTCAGACAGCCCGCGGACCTATACAGGCTCGTGTTGAATGTCTTCCTTGGTCTACATACTAGTATGGTCTAGATTAATTTAGGCGGTTTGCGGGTCCGTAAAGAAGAAACGAAACTGTTTTATTTATTTTGATCTTTGCGAGTACGTAATACGGGAGTTGTATTTCAAAAAAAATCAGAAGGATAAGCCGTCCACAACATGACACTCTCAAGTTGCAATGCATGGGCGGCTTTGATTGCATTGTCGTCCAAAAATGGTGCACGCACGCACGCACTCTCGTGTGCATAGTGGCACTGCTATAAAAAAGCCAAAGCTCCCCTCAAAAAAAAAAGGCCAAAGGTCAAACGGACTGTCGTGACTTCCGAGACGGCCAATCGGCCGGGGCACGCGCGCATATAATAATGATGGAACGGACGCACGGCCACCACGGCCCGACTCAGAGAGCCACGTCACCGATCCGCCCCGCCTCGCCACCATTCAGCGCCGAGCACGCGGATCGCGTGCTTCCTCCACGCGGACTGCAGCCGTCGGATCTGCGCGCAATCCGATTGATTCCTTTTCCCAAACGGCAGTGCTGTGACAAGAAACCGCCTCGGCCCACCCCCACCTATAAAGCTCCCGCCCCGCTTTCTCCTGCTCCAACGACCCACTTCATCGCCTTCCAGTTTTGGAAGGAAGCCTCTTTTGGAAGTCGCGGAGGAGGCCATGGCCCGTACGAAGCAGACCGCCCGCAAGTCCACCGGTGGCAAGGCCCCCCGCAAACAGCTCGCCACCAAGGTGCGTCTCGTTTCGATTTCGATCTGTTCATTCGTCCTTGTTGATTCGAGATTTGTTGGCTGACGTTTTGGAGTTTGAATCGCCGTTGTGTGCTCATCAGGCGGCGAGGAAGTCGGCGCCGACGACCGGCGGAGTGAAGAAGCCCCACCGCTACAGGCCGGGGACCGTGGCGCTCCGGGAGATCCGCAAGTACCAGAAGAGCACGGAGCTGCTGATCCGCAAGCTGCCGTTCCAGCGCCTGGTCCGCGAGATCGCGCAGGACTTCAAGACGGACCTCAGGTTCCAGAGCCACGCCGTGCTGGCGCTCCAGGAGGCGGCCGAGGCGTACCTGGTGGGGCTGTTCGAGGACACCAACCTGTGCGCCATCCACGCCAAGCGCGTCACCATCATGCCCAAGGACATCCAGCTCGCCCGCCGCATCCGCGGGGAGCGCGCCTAGGCCAGGCCAGCGCGCAACCGCCACCGCCTGCCGTTCCTCGCGCGCTAGTACTAGTAGTTGATTTCCTTGCCCTTTTAGATTAGATTCTGTAAGCTCGTAGTGAGTGAAAGGCAACTTTTGATTCGCTGTAAAAAAAGAACACGTGATTGGTTACCGTAGCTGCAAAGACTCGTCTGACCATTCGTTTGGTTTGCAATGTTGCAAACATATCT